ATGTCTTACCTTCTTGAGAAACTAGGATCACTAAAACAGGAAAACAATTACTTCAATCTACAAGAGAATTGGCATAGAGAAGAATTGTGAGATTGTTCATATTCCAAACAGAAGCAAAAGAAGACATCTCTGCTATCTCCCTATCCTCTTTTTCTGCACTTAGTGTTGGTGCATGCTGTCCTTCTGGCTTACAATGAAATTTCAATCTGTGGTGGTGCCAGAGAACAGAATGTCTTGTGGAAGCTCAGTGTCATCCTGAGTGAAAAGAGTAAAGTATTGGATTTTTACCTACTGTTGCTGATGTGTCTTGGTGATTCAAAAACCTTCAGGCATGCCCATTTCCAGGGACTGGAGCAGATCAGCTTGCTGGGGGAGCACACGCCATCCTCTACTTCACCATTCTACTGGCAGAGAGGCTGGGAGTACTGCCTCAGAGCAACTCAGTGACCTGCTTTGTTCCTAGAAAGAAGAACACCTCACCAAGGAAGGATACCAGAGTTTTTTGAAGGATCCTATAGTAATGTGTGGACTGAGATTATGCACATCATAAGCATGGGGTGAGGAGACAGGAAATGCAAGATGCAGCTGGGTCCTGGCCTAAGAGAGGAACAGTATGTAGCAATGTTAAATTTAGTTTGTCTCTGTGTGTAATGCTCTTTGTTGTGCTAGATAACTTCAAGAACTACAAACTGCCCTTATGAATAAACAAATCAGAGGATTGTTGCAGGCACACCGAGAATACAATATGTGTATGAGATGTTATGCAGTAAATAATGAGATGTTGTCTTCATGATATTGCAGCCACAAGCTTTGCATGGAGCACTTAAATATTTACCATAAGTAAATCCATTAGGAAAGACAATTGCTCCCTCTTACTGACTTTCTCCAAGCCAGTGCATTGAAAATAAGCTGTTTCCTGCTCTAGGCATTCCTTTAGAGATGACAGGAACTCCCCCACCACGGCCTTAGTGCAGGAACAATTTTTGTTCGTGCTTTCTTTTTGCTAAGAATTTTGTACTTTGGACTTTGTTGATGTACTTCTGCTGCCATCTTAACACAGATCCCAATGTGATCTTGAATTTAGGGAATGGAAAATCCTGATAAACATCCGGGCTGCTGTGAATGCAAAGGACAAAGCCTTTGTAGTAAAATGTCTCTGACATACGCCCATGAGAAGTGTTTGATGTGCTGTAAAAGACATCTATCTGAAAAAAAATTGTTTTTCCTCTCTGGCTTTGTTGAGCAGACTGTAGAAGTAAATGACACAAAGTAACCCTTCTCTTCCTCTCCTACTGCCCCTCTCTTTCTTTGATCTTGCAGTGATGTGATAATGGTGAGTCTGTAACTTGAAAGTAATTTCTGTAAAGACTTATACCGTGAACAGAGGGGTTTTATTTTCTGCTGCTAAAGGGAGATCAAAGTATGATCTAGAGATTAGACCTGTTTTGAGAGAGAAAACTGAGTGGCCTATTTCTACCTCTGTCACTGAATTGCTGCATCAAACTGAGCAAGTCACTTAACTTCTCTGTGCCCTGAACCTTTGCTGTGTACTGAAGCATTCAGCTCTTTCGCTAATAACAAACATTTTATATGGCTTAATCATAAATGATTGCCTGTGTGCTAATTAGCCACAGTCAGTGCAAAGTTTATTATACTTGTTTTCAACCTTTACACCAATTCATGGAACGTGATGGCTGGTTTTGATTTAATTTTGGTCACAGTTTGCAGGAAGGAAAGGAAGAAAGCACTGAGATCCACAGAGTAGCTGGAGGCAATGACACAGACTGCAGGCTGATGGGAATTTCTGGGCTCAGGGCTGTACTTTACAAAGGATGCTGGCATCAGAGAAGCATTATTACAGTGTTTTATATTGGTCTGGATGAGTTTAAACAACCAGCTGAGCTACTAGCAGCAATGTACACAGTGCAGGCCAACCTTCCAAATAAGTCCTGTGTCTCACACTGACTCTACTTGACTTTTGGTCACCAGGTTTTTTCTGTTGCTCAACCCAGTTCAAATAACACTAGCTGAGGTATGCTGGCCTCCTCTTACAGCTGTAGTTTGGAGGTAGTGCTTGCTGGTGAGCTCAGACCAGCACATGAGTAAGTCAGGTCTGCAGGCTGCAGTGTTCTTGCATCTGCACGAATGCACAATCTGCTGAAAAGCACTCAACTGCCCAAGCCCTTCAAATACCACGGTAAAGCTGTGTCAACAGTTGTCTCCCTGACAACCTTCTGAGCACTCTTACACGTGGAAGAAATCGGCCAAAATTAAAGAAAAAAAAAAAAAGTGTGGAAATCCCTCTGCTTTAGGAAAGACTGCAGTTTTACCATTTGCAAAGAGAGAAAGATGTCAGGAGTGTCCCACTCTGTGGCAATACTGGAAATTTAATCTGTAAGCACATGCAAAGGCAGTGTGATTAAATCAGAGGTACAGGAGCAATACAATACTATTCTTTGCAGAAAAGCAACCTCACATCAGTTCTGCATTTTGTGCACGGGCAGCCTAAGAGAAGAGACTCTATGATTCAAAATGTCTGCAGTCTGCATCCCTGGAGAATCAGTAGGAGTTGAACGTCCAAGTGTTTTATGTGTATTTGAGGGAAACAAAAAAGCTGCCTTCTCCCAAAGTATCAACAGGGAAACTGAGGAATAAAGGGATTAACAAATTCTGCGCATAGTGACATATTTTTGGGTTTGTTTCTATTTTTTTTTCTTCTTAATTTTCTTTTTATGTATCTGAGAAAGGAGCAAACTCCCTGAATTTCCCAGTATGATGGCAAAGCAATCCCCATGAATCCCAGCAGCAGTTGCAACAGAACCTTCATGCCCTCTGTCCTTTGTCCTTCTAAGGGGAAATGTTGGGTGGCATTCAACATTTAAAAGTTAATGATAGGCTAGCCAGTAAAAGTGAAGACTTGCAGCTTTGGGTTGCAGCAGAGAAACAGGAGGGCAGCCTGTTCATACCAAACGTCTGAGAGTACCTTATTCACGGGAAGCACTGGCAGACTACAAAGTACTCTGTTAATTATTGTTGACATTGCATAGAGAGCTTCATGCTGTTCTTTCTCTGCCTGCTTTGACTTAATTTGTTTGAGAAAGTACTTTTTCTGTGCTGCAGATTATGTAAATTCATATACTCTACTGCACTGACAGATGTGTCTTTGTTTTAGAAGAAGCCATTATTTTTTTCAGTGCTGAATGTGAATGGAGCATTTCACTCTGGTGGCTTCCAAAAATATTTATAAAGTGAAGCTGAGCAGCTCAAAATATTTTGCCCTCCCACACTGACATTCACAAGCCTTTATAGCAGCATTATCAAAAGCATTTGCAGTGGAACGTGCATGAGTTGGCCACAAAGACTGGGTTAGTCAACAAATGACTGAAGGCACACATTTTAGTCAGCTCTACCCCACACAGTACAGCAGAACCCAGTTGCAACTGTAATTAACAGGGCAATTATTCTATATTGTGGGTCAAAGACTATCTTCTAATGACTCCTTTCTCTTGTAACTCCTGCATATCTGAGGAAACAGGATGAAGAAACAGAAAGGAAAATTCTCCTTTCTTCCTCTTTCAGCTGGTAAAATGTGGTTTGACTGTGCACTGACTACCACAGGCAGTGCTCATTCTGAGGGCTGATAGCTGCTTATAGGTTTGATATCCTGGCTGTGAGGGGTGGCACTGTTTGCCTTCCATATTTGCATTCCACTTCCACTGACCATTGCCCAGGTGTTCTCCAGCTCACTCCAGCTCACTCTCCCACTCCGAGTCTTCCTGAACATGCTGCTAAGAAACACAGCATGCTGCAGCCACTTGGGCAGAGAAAAAGGCTCCCTGTGAGCACATAAATGCATCAGGCTTCCTCTCAGATTTCACTATAAATTAAAATGACCTCTCTGCCAATTGGTTGTAATGACTTCCATAGTCTTCACCACTGTATTGAAACCAGGGCTTCCCACACATTTCTCCCCACTAGGAGTTATCCAAGAGAGCTACACGAGCAATCTGTGCCCTCCAGCTGCAGGCAGAAGAGCTGTCTGGCTAACTTCATTAGTATGGGCATGATAATTGACACACAATGACTTCAATGATAAGACTGGGTGTACTTTATGTCCATTCTTAGCTTTGTGCATTTCCATCTTTGAAGTTTTAAAATATATAATGAACAGCAGTGAGTCCAAGGAATCTTACTTACAAATCCACTACAAAATGTTAGCTCCATTGGCTTTGGTCAGCCCCTCCCTGTCCCCAGGAGTGAGGGCTATGCACCATGCTTAAACACTCTGATTATCCTCAGTAGGCAAATGGATAGAAAAAACATTTTAAACAGGGGAAGTCTCCCCACCTAAATTGATACAGGGAGGAGCTCAACAGCAGGGAGAGGGAAGATTTGTCATACACTATCCTGTCTTCCTAAGCACAAGTTTGCATTGATGAAAAAATTGTGAAAATTTTTACTCAGCAATGAACAAGGACTACAGCTAATCTCCTTCTTCATTATTTAGGAGATAAAATATCTCTCTAGCATACCCAGTGATTGCACACTGCATAGGATGCCATTTCCCTTCAATGGGCATAGAAGTTTCTTTCCTCATAATCCCTGCATTGTTTGGACACAATCCTTTTTCAAACATTTGCATTTTTTGCATTGCTAGATGTTAATTTTTTAATTCCTATTGAGTGTGTGACCCTTTTGTTCTCTATATGCAGTGTTAATTCTGTGATATTTAAGCATGCATAAATGAAAAGTGTCTCAGCTGAAGATAATTTTCAGTGTTTTTTTTCCTGGTAAGAAGACAGATATTTTGGGTTTCTTGCTGCATTTTGGAGGCATGTGCATTAAAGTTACTTCTAAAACCTTGAAACAGGAAAGAATAGCACACTTTAAAGCATATGTTGCCATGTATTTGCTACCCTCTCACTCATAGCTTGCAGCAGGTGAAAAAAGCAGTAATGGGTGACTAAGAATGCAATAAAGGAAAGAAGTCTGGAGAACAGTAACAGCAAACACATGTGGTCTTTTGTAATCTGTGAAGTATTAATTTCCTTTAGTGAATTTGTAGCTTAATTAAAAAAAACCAAACAAAATCAAAACAGTAAACAAGATGAATTTTACTTTTTGCTCAAAAAAAGTAAGAGAATACTAATAATTTTGATTAAAATATTACTGAGGATGCCATGACTATAGTCCTTGTGGACTTGTTTTGAAAAGAACAGAGTTTGCTTCTATTGCTACCATGCCAGGGATAGCAGGAATTGATATGACAGATCATTTCAGACTATATGAAGTTATGATATAACTGGGTTATATCATGATGGTTGACAGAGATGTTCCTCTAACATGAGATAGCCCTCCAGAAGGAGGGTGATGTGTGTCTGTGCAGAATGCATTTGTTTTCGATGGCCAAGCCGTGACTGTGAAGTAGGCTTCCATTCCTCTGGGACCTTATCTCAGATTACACCAGCTCCGACTGCAAGTGAAGAGCACCTTTCTTTGACCTTGACATTACTGGAATAAATGTTTAGAGGCATGTAAAACCTCAAAACAAACACTCCTCTCCTTGGGGAACAGATAAGCGAACAAACACGCGACAGACGACAGTGACGTTACTTAATGCGTGACCGATTCGTGTGTATATTCTGCTCTCACTGGAGTTGTAAGTGGCCACAAAAGAAAAACAGGTTATATTACTGGTGTGCCTGTTGCATTAGTGAGCAGGTCCGTAGGCTTATGCCTTGACACAGAAGCAATGTTTGAAGATAGTGGATTTCCCAAGGAAGACCTGAATATTATACAGAAGTCTTGCTAGAGCTTTTGAGCTTTGTAAAAATTCAGTTTCAAAATTCACCTCCCACCCAAAAAGTACGAATGAGTTTTTGCAACCAGCTCATAAAATCTTCCCATTGCAACATGGTGACTCTGTCTTGAGAAAGACTCTTTCGGAAAACTTGGGATTGCATGCTTATGACCGGTAGGTGTACAATCCTTATGTGAACCACCTTCTATCAAGAGCAACCTTGCCACGGCCCCTCCTCAGGTGGAGACAACAGATGCCTAGCAGCAGCTACAGGTGTGTAATTCTCGCTGAGATGTTCAGCTGCATGGAGAGATAGGAGAAACAGAAACTGGTCAAACTGGTTCTGGAGGCCCCGTTAGGGGCTCCCTGATGCTGGGTCTTGTTCAGGCAGGCTGTGAAGCCCAGTGCGACATGGTGACTTTCACTGGAAAGAGCCTTGCACTCCTTTTTTTTTTAAAATCTTCTCTTACTCCCATTTTTGTCTTAATTCCTTCTCTCCTTTTTATAGCGTTTTGTGTGAAAGAATACACTGGCAATGCTAAGTACTGCATTGGAGGGAGGCCCCAGTTAAACTGGCTCCAGATGTGCTTGAACTGGCCTAGCTGTGCACGCTGGAGAGCAGAGCCTGCCTCCTCGGCTGGGAGCAGGCACCCATGTGCCAGGCGATGCACGTGGCTGGCTGCCACAGTTACTAACCTAGTATTAACTGCATTAATTGTGGACATAAACAGTGTTTAGTGCCAAGCATGTCACAAGCTGATTATAAAAGCTGTGGTGTAGGCAGAGTTTCAAATTGTGCTTCACTTTTAATTTCCAGCGCCCTTCCCCTCCCCTTCTATTCCCCCCTCCCCCTCTTTTTCCCCTCCCCCTCCGAAATTCCTTGAATGTGTCTGTGTATTTACCAAAATACAAATGTGTACCGAGCGGCAGAGCTATCGGGTTGTAAATACTATGAGTACCTGCTAATGGCCGGGAGCAAATTGTCTGCCGGCGCCTGGAGTCAGGGCTGGAGCGCCGGCAGACCCCGGCAAGGGAGAGCCCCCTGCCCCCCCTGCCCCGTCCCGCACCGTCCCGTTCCGCTCTGCCGCTGGGCGCAGCTGACCTACTTTTTCTGCATTTCTCTCCACACTGCCCCGACCCCTCCTACGCGTGGGGCTCGACGGCTTTTAACCCTTGGAAGCGCAGCAGCCGCAGCTGCGGCTCCCCGGTCCCGGCCGCGGGGATGCGGCGGGCGCGGGGATGCGGCGGGCGCGGGGATGCGGCGGGCGCGGGGATGCGGCGGGCGCGGGGATGCGGCGGGCGCGGGGATGCGGCGGGCGCGGGGATGCGGCGGGCGCGGGGATGCGGCGGCCGCGGGGATGCGGCGGGCGCGGGGATGCGGCGGCCGCGGGGATGCGGCGGCCGCGGGGATGCGGCGGCCGCGGGGATGCGGCGGCCGCGGGGATGCGGCGGCCGCGGGGCGGGGCTCGTCGGGCTGGGCCTCCGAGCAGCCTTTGCCCGCAGCACCACCCGCTGGGCGGTGTGCGGACACGGACCAGCCGCGCCGAGCCGAGACGCCGCTTTCTGTGCGCTCGCCTACTGCCCTGAGCTTCCCCGGGACGGGTGTCAACTCGGCTCCCTGTGATTCTCCCCTGTTTCTGCCATTAACGAACCTTTAGCAAAACAAATAATAACTGTAATGAAATAAAATGAAGTACGTAGAATTCACAGAAATGGCGCTGTTTGCATTTCTGTACAATGCAGCCCCACCTTCCTGCAAGGGACAGGACATCAAAGCGTTTTGGAGAGGCTCTGCCCTTTGTGGCTCATGCTCTGGCACCTGGTGTGGGAAAGGCTGTGTGATTATGGTGACAAAACGTGTCTGACACAGCATACGCTGAATAGTGGCTTGGTGTGAAGAGCACATTGTAGGTGCTTTGTATTTCATATGCTTAATGTGGTCAAATAGTGCTCAGTATGATATTCAGCTGATTAATTGTAACTCACTTTCGGATTGTGCTTTGCCTCTCTGTGTTTTTTGCTAAAACAATGGATTTGTCTTTTGCTCTTTTTAGAAGAATATTAGAGGAAAAGCCCTTTAGTGCACAAAAGTCTGGAAAGGGGGAAGATAATAGTCTCACATTTTTAAATATAATACTCTTTCTAGAAAGGCCAGAAGTAAAATGTTCTGAAATAAGAAAAAAAAAATAAAAATTGCATTGGATGCACACCTTCTAACATGTAAAAATGTTTGTGTGCATTGAAAAGTGTCTCCTGGGTTTTAGTTGAGATTACTAGAAAACTGTGGAACTTGTCAAAGTGTTTCCTCAAGTATGTAAACACTACTGAGTACACAAACAAATTGCATTCAAGCACATGAAGATAATGGCATGGTCACTTTGTCCCAAAAAGCTGAAGTTTCCCTGGTGCAGCTGGTGAAACTTGGAACAGAAGTAAAACTGCTGGGAAAGGAGTTTCCTAGCAGCATGTATTTCATAGGTTCAGGACCAATGGGCGTCCATGGAGTAAACAAACTCTGTGGTCATTGTGACCGTGGAGTAACAGCTGTGGGTCACTCTTTTGGCTGTTGTTGAAGGATAGTGGGGATGGGCAACAAATCTTGTTTCTGTTCTAGAGGAAGGCCACTTATACTGTTGGTGAGAGCATTATCTGTGTTTTGAGAATGTTCTTAGCTATGCTCCTTGCTTTATCACATTTCTACTGAGTGGCCACTGACCTATTTGTAATCTGTTTCACAGAAGTTTTATTTTGAGTGTGGTAAATAGAGAGTTGTAGGGACATCTGGGAATGATCTTTCCCCTCCCACAAAGGAGGCACCTTCAGTCAAGCTTTGGGCTATCTAATGGTGTTGGATTATCCTCAGTTAATGTCATACTCTCCTGCTCTTAAGGGTAATAAATAAATAAATCCCCTCCCGACTGTCAGATCTTTCAGCAGCCTTGATAAGAATAACTGCCAGGTGTGTGTGATAAGTCTGTGGTCCTTGGCAGCACTTTAGAGTACTCTTCATGAGGAACTACTGGGGTAGTTCCTGGAAAAGCGGGATTTTATAGAGGGATTACAAGTATTTGTTTGTCTAAATGAAGAGTGCTGCTGGTTCCCCTATGTCTTTCTAAAAACACAGTGTGAATATTGGGCTGCAAATGGCTGTCACTCAGAAGTATAAATTAGAAGGACTACAGGGTACTGCCAGTGAAACTCTCTACCTCCTTTGCAGTTGTCTTTGAGTAATTACCCTGGTTACCAGATGGTTTAGTCAGGATTTGTTTCTCTTGTTTGTTTTCAAAGAGCTGTATGCAAGTTGCAGTGAACAGTTATGTTAAAGGACAAAGAATTTGCATTTTACACAGAGTAAATTTTGAGTATCCATGAAAGCAAAAACATGAAAATTCTGCCAAGTAATTGGTAGGCAGAACCAGCTCAAATTTAGTTATCAGTTACTATCACAAAGTGATCTTTGGGTTTTTTTTAACAAAAAATGGAGTATTTCTTTACATCATTAATGATTAAGTTGAAAAGTAAGTAATGACTTCAAAAGTTAGTCTTAGTTCCAGAGTTCATAGGATACACTTACTAGGGGCATTTTTTTCTATGTTTTTAGGTTAACCCAGAGAATCTGTGATATAGGAAGTAAAAACTATGTTGAATGAGTGCCACCAAGTGTCCTTCTGCAGAATATGAAAGCACAGGTCTTTAGTGGGAGCAAAAAAAAACAGACTGCACCATTAAGTTCTGTAATTTTAAGTGAGACATCTCAGAGGCAGTGAATTCTGTTAGAGTGAGAGGAGTTGCAATTATTATTCCACTGAAGTGCAACAGCAAACTCTGGAAAGCTGATAAAGGTGAATATCTGGTGGGTATCCATCCTGTTTGTCTCTCTGTTCCATTTTGCTTATCTGCTGAGTGAGTGCTCAGCGTTGACACTGGACTATCTGTGCCTCTGCTGCTCTGTGTCAGATGATGGTGTGATACACCTTATCTCTCTTTGGCAGGGCTGGTACTTATCACAGGAGCACCTAATAGGTAACATATGTTACAGATCTGGCTGTTAACATCTCAGTTTTGGCCCTTCTTCTGCTACTATTGATCCCAATGCTGAACATATTAATAGCTGCCATGGGGGCAAGGCTGAGACTTGTGTGTATGAACATCAGAGATTCAACAGAAGAAACAAGCTAGGTGTTGTCAAATGCCCTCCAAGACAGTTTCATCCTGAATTCCCCGTAGATTAAAAGTTCCTGAAGGATCTTTAGATTTTCTGCTCATACACAAGAGTGTGTCTAAAGAAGGAATATTTGTATCAGCCTTACAACTTTCTGAATTTCAGTTTGATTCAAGAAATAGATACCCAAGTGTGTTGAAATTCCAGTTGCATTTCTCTATGCTGTGTGTTGGGGCAAAAGAGTGATGCCAAAAAGCCATTTTACATTGCACACAATAATAGCTGCTCCTTGTCAAGCTGGAGTTCATTGCCTGAATTTCCACACTGCAGCCAGAAACCATGTCCAAAGCAGCTACACAAAGAGTTGTGGTGTGCAGCAAACTTAGTATCTCTCCTCAGAAATGTGAAGTGCCTTTTGTTCTGGTTAAACAGCAGAAGGGGAGTAGACTAGGACAAGGGTCTAGCCAAAGAGACTGTTTATGAAGGGTTTTGGTAATGCACTTATTTGGACAGAAATAGTTTAGGTCACAAAATGTGCTGAAGCCTGCATACAGAAATTGAACTTTTTTTTCCTGGAATATATTTATTTATAGATAAACTGATCAGTCTGTAATGGCACCCATTAAACTTGGAGGAGTGCCAGGGAGCAAAGAGAACACCATATATTCTGGGGACTCTGGGCAGTGAGGAAGCACAGAGTCTCTGTTTAATGAGCAGCCCACTGTATATCTCAGGGCCTTTCCAGGGAAGTTAATGGGTGAGCAGACTTCTGCTGGCGCAATTTTTCCAATATAGCACTCTTTGTTCTGCTCTGTTTTATTATTTCTCTATAAATTAACTTTAAAAAGTGAGGTTTACCATTATCTGAGCATGCTGTGAAAAAACTCTCCTTTGAAGCTCACCTTTAAACTCTCCTTTGTTTGATGAAGAGTGGAACTGCAAAGTACAGAGACAGGCATCAACATATTGACCTTTAATTATTTGAAAGGACTTTCACTATTTGTATAGGTGATAAATAGTTTGTGGTACCTATTTTGTCCAAAGGGGGCAACTCTCAAGTGATTTGCTCTCACTATGTGTAAAATTCTTGCTGTTGATTTGGTATTTGCCAGTATGCAGGGATATCTAAGCACCACTGTGTGATGTGCTGGATAACTAAACTGCCCTCTGTGTGTCAAGGCAAAGCTAGGTGGTAGATATATACCAACAAGGGGAGAAGTACCTTTGGCTCAGATAAATGCCTAAGCTTTCATTTAGTCAAAATTAACTTTCTATACAGAACATTAAGTAATTAGTTGTCCTTTTCCTCTTGTGCCCTTCCCAAGCACCATAGACAAAGTTATCAGTATTCTTGCCAGTAATTCACCTATTATCTCAGTTTAAAAGTATTTCATTGTTTCATGGACAGTTTTTAATATGCTGGATAATGTTCCTGTCAGGCTGTGATATCTGGGCATGATCTCACCCTTCATTCAAGAGGAAAAATAAAAGCTTCTTCTCTGAAATGACCAACCTTACTGCAGCTTTAAAAGCACTCTTTGGGGAGCTGAATAAAAGCAAATGGCAAACTAAAAGGTGTTGCTAAGGAACAAATCCAGATGCTTCCAGAACTAACCCAAATAAAAAAAAAAAAATTAAAAAGGACACACCCACTAAATTGGACTAATGATTTCCAAAATGAAAGAGATATTCTATTATCCAACGTTGCTAGTTGACTAAATAAGGAAATATTAAGAAAATAAGAGCTTTGAGAAACAGTATAATTAATAAACATGAATAACATGAATGAGGGTGTTCTCCAGAGGAAAATATTTGCACAGGACCTGAATTTATGGTAAACATTCTACTTTAACAACCTCCATGGAAAATCACTTAAACAAGTTGCACAGTTGATTGGACACGTTGAGTTGGCGAGAATCAGGTGGAAACCCCACAGTAATGGTGATGCAAGGAAAGTTGGTGTTGTCATGACAACTAATGTGTGATATGTGCAGACATGCCCTGCAAGGCAGTCCCGCACTCCCAGCCCTAGCAAAAGATGTTCTCAGCATCCACTTTTCAGCTATTCAATAGTTGCAAGAGAATGACCTCACAGCTGTAGGTGTTCCCATGTAA